CTTAAGCGCGATGGCATTTCTGCCGCTTTGAATAATTATAAGCAGATCACTTCGCTCAGCTAAGCGCAAAGCCGCAGCGCAGAGCACCCACGCGGCGGATGTCTTACTTTAGCCTCGTCCAGACGGCCCAGAGCTTTAAGCAGATTGCCCAGATCACTCCTGACACAGTAAAGATCCTATACGGTGATAAGAAGGAAAATACAAGCTTACAGGATTGCACTGGAGGGCTGTGGCATATGCACTAACGGCCGATTCTGTATCTCCAGCCGCCACAAGAGCTGCAGCTAGATTAATATAGCCGTCAATGAAGTCTGGTTTTATATTCAGTGCATGACGATAATTATCGATGGCTTCTTTTAGTTGTCCCCGTTCTTTCAACACATTTCCCAAGTTGGAGTAGGCTTCAGCCATGAGCGGATTTTGCTTGATAGCTAGCTGACTAAAGTATGCCGACTTATCAAGACGTCGGCATTGGAAGTGTATAGAGCTCAGTAGCAACAGCGTTGAAGTATTCTCCGGATCCTGGTGCCACAATTGCATGCAGTGCTGCTCCGCCCTTTCGTAATCACCTGCCTGATACTCCCTGTGTGCTACATCCGCCAGCTCAGCCAACGCTGACAAGGTTGCACGGTCGTGCGACAGCATTGTCCTCCCGCTCGCTGTATCACTGAGGTGTAAGACAGACTGCCTCTCCAACATCAAGCGCCCAAGAGATCACAAACGAAACAATGGCGAACGGAAGAGCCACCTCAAATTTAAACAAAAGTCTCTGACCTCACAGTTTCAAAGTTAATGCTCCGATATAATTAAGATACATACAACACTTTGCAAGTTTCCAACTGTGGTTTACACATAAGATGCCTACAATACACCTGCAGCATAGGCCTTCAGAAAATAGTTTAGTATGGAGGTAAGAATGATCACACAATTCCCATCCGATTTGTATTAGTGCAAAGAGCTTCAGACACCCTGATATTTAAATGATTTCGTGGTGGAATTCGAATGGGTATAAATCTGTGATAAGCACTGGACTGCAGAACACAATTCTCTAAAAGTAATTTCAGTTAAATTAATATGCAAATAATTCGTGCACAGATAACTCACCAGAATTTTTATCCCCCTGGCCATGTTACATCCCTGACAAGCCATTTCACGCCCAACGGACTGAGCCAAAAAGTGATGAAAACAGCTATTTTCCATTCTGGGGGTTGTTGGACCTTTGTATTAAACCAAATGGTTCATAATGTAGCGATATTTTTTGCAGTGCAGATAGTATGTATAGGTTTGTTCTTTCTTTCACCCTATAAAAACGATTGCGTGAGTAAATTACATCCCGGTATTACGCTTCAATGCATTAGACCAAATTATTCTTTTATTGAAAACTCAGCCGTTTGCTCTGTCGCTTAAACGGTGGGCATAGAGCCAATGCCTCGAAATCAGACAGTTAACCATGCTTCTGTTCGAATGAGTTCTTTGATCACAAGCTGTGCATTGATTCCCAATCAATGTCTGGAAAGTTTAGATCTCCAAGTGTTAGGACCTCCTTTGTCCTGGGGGTCTATTTACCAGAGTAATGTGGAACTCGGGTTGGTTTGGTACTCTCCATTTACAACTAATTTTTTCGCAGAAACTATTCCTGCGTGATGACGAACTATCCGTGACGTATTCGACACCATCTCGTATGAGCATTGCGATTCCCTAACCCTTAGGTCCGCTTCTGTCCATGTGGATAAGCTAAAATCCTTCCAGTCTGGCTTCTACATCTGCTCATTTAACCATGTTTCAGTTAGCGCTATCAGCTCGGGGTGCAGACAGTCCGCTGACAGTTTGAGTTCATTCAATTTGTTGAGTAGAATCAGTACATTTGTAAGTCAGTCAGTAAAAATAGGCTTGCGCCTTTGAACTCCCTAGTTGTCACATCAAAATCTCAAGAGCTATAAACATTTTTAAGAAGTTTTCGGTCAGAAAAAAATATAGACCGTCACATGGTGCAGTGGTGTTTCCAGGCTAATTTGTCACACACTTCCCGTTGTGCTGTAGCATGTGTATATCAAGTCGGTGTTTGAATGTCTCCA